GGGGTGAGTGTGTGGGGAGGGGGGAGGGGGGTCGCATGTGACTGGGAAGAAGTGGGGGGGAGGGAAAGGGGGGGGGAGGGGCGGGAGGGAGGGGGAGCGGGGGCGTACCCGACAGAGTTGAGGAAGAAAAGTGACTCTAGCATGGTGTATGGTGTAATAAGGGGGAGGTTGTGTATGCGTGTGTGTGTGGGGTGGGGGGGGGGGGTGGGGGTGGGGGTGGGGGGAGGTGGGTGGTGTTGCGTGGGGAGAGGTGGGAGTGGTGGTGGTGGTTTGCGGAGCGGCAGGACTTGGCATCTTGGGCGTGATCGACGGGGCCTGCGGGAGGCGGTTACTTTGATGTGATAGCGGCAGCAAGATCGGTAGCAGTGAAAGCGCGATGGCGGCGAAAGTTGCTACGTGGGCTGATGGTGTCACCGTGACTTGCAGCAGAGTGACCATGGCTGAAGCGGAGATTCAGATGTGATGCCGACCCGCAAGCCGGATCCGCGAGAGAGCCAAGCGTGGGGAGGCGGGAGACGCCGCGGACGAGTTGGACTCACTACAGGTGACATCGCTGGGGTGCGGACAGTTCGGCGGGAATGTGGCGATTCAGATGACGCCCCGTGGCGAGAACGACGAAGAGAAGATTGCCGGCGAAGAGCACGGCGGGCGTGGGAGCTAGCGCGGTCGGCACGGGTCAGGGACCGGGCCACATTGCGGCGTGACGCTGTTCGGCGCGCGCGCGGAGAGAGAAGGGGACGCGCAGGAGCGTGGAGATCTTGAACAGAGCGACGCCGTGAGAAGCAGTTGTCGTCGTCTGGAAAACACGACCCGTTGCCGTCGTAGACGTCGTAACCGGAGACAACGGGACACGCTGCAGCCGCGAGCTGTCCGAGTTTGCACGCGAGCGCGTCACAAACGCTGACCGCAGCGGACCGCCACGGGTAGGCGAAGTAGGGGACAACGGAATATCAGCGACAGACACGTCCGAGTCGTGGACTGTAGACATCGACTCAGACTGCGTAGCTTTGGATTCGAGTGGCACTTCATCAAGACTGGCAACATGCCGGGCAGGACCAACGCGCTTCCCGCGCCAACGCGAGAACCGCCAAGCAGCGAGGCAAAACGCGACGGCAAGCGAGCCACAGACCACGCCGAGACCAATGACAAAGTACTCTCGGTTCTCACGGTGGATAAAGTACAGGATCTGGCCGCATGACAGCACGCCCACCGCGTATGAGAGCGCGGTGTGGTAGACGTTGAGAAAAGGGTCCATGGCAGCAACAAGAATGATGTTGAGGCAAAAGTTGAGGACCGCCGCGAGGAGGCGCGAGCCGGCCTCACGAACAAGGACGGTCTCGGCAGCAAAGGTGAACGAGACAAAAACTGCAGCGTGCGGAACCACAGCCGCGAGTCGCGGAGGCCGCGGATGACAATGCCATACCGCTCGATGAGAACGTCGCGATCGAGCCCGTCAGCAGAGCGCGAGAGGCGAAGCGAGATGACAAAGCCGAGCAGCGGGAAGCCGGCACAAAAGAACACAGCAACCGTCCAGGCGAGTGGGGCTAGGCCGAGGTGGGCTCCTTGGTAGCAGATTATGGTGAGGTCGGCGGCAAGTCGCGACGTGCCATCGCCGGTGTTGACGCAGTACAATGCCTGGAGTGTGCGAACAGCGATCTGGAGATAAGCAAGCGAGCCGAGAATAAAGGTGGCATGGACAATGCGAGACTGCATGAGCATGGCAGTCGAGACGTGTCTCGCGGCAGCTTCAGCTTGCTCCTCGGCAGAAGACAGCGAGCTCGAGTCGAGATCGGACGACGCTTCGGCCGCATCGCGGTCGAGACCCGATACAGCCGCATAGGCCGAAATGGCACCGACAACGGCAACGCCTGTTGACAACGCGTCCTCACCCACTGCTGCTGTTTGCGACCTCAGCGCCTCGACGTGCGATGCAGCACGGCCGAGAACACGCCAAGCGCCGGCCGCAATGACAAACAGCGCCAAGGAGCCTGCCAGCAGCACAAGCGTGCCGTAGTACAAGCCTGGAAATGAGATCTTGGGAATCGAGCACCCGGGTCGAACAGTCTCGATCTCAAAGTTGATGATGGCTGCAAACCGGACGACGCCGCCGACCACCGGCGATGTATCCGAGTCCGAGAGCTCTTGCAGGCCTACCCGCGAGACCATAGCCATCTGCTGGAGCACAACCAGCGTCGAAACAATGAGCACCACTCGCTTGGCCGAGAGCGTGGCAAGCCCCCAAGCAATGGTCCCAATGAAAGCCGCCAGTGAAATGAGCACAACCGTGAGCTCGGCGTTGGCCGACGCATCCGAGCCGCAGCTCCGACACACCCCATTGTCCATAAAGTAGGCAGCCGCACACTCGGCACAAAACTGGCCATCATACTCGGAGGAACAGACTGCGGTGCGGCGGGTGCCGTCCGGATTGATCAAGGGCGGAAGCCCGCCGCCGCCGACCGCGCCCGGACACGCGGCCCGGATGCGACACGGCGTCGGCTTGGTAAACTCACTTGGTGACCACCAGCCAGGCAGTGGCCACATGCGCTCGCCGCCCGGGCAGTGTGCGCCCGGCGGGCAGACCTGACACACCCCGTTGTACAGTACGTAGCCCTGGCGGATGCAGCCATGGTCGACGTAAAGAAGGTGCTTGCGCAGGACCTCGGTCGAGACCGGGTTGCCCGTACTGCGGTCGTACCGCGCCACAGTGACCGGGTGGTAGCCGGTATTGTTCGAGAACGTCGAGTTGAAGACGAGGCCGTGGCGGACCGTGTCGATGATGAACGGAACGTGGACTCGAGTGGCAACTGCATCTGGGTTGGGGTACGACTCGAGGATGACATCAAACGAGTAGAGCGAGACGTCAAAGAACGAAGCAGCGTTCGGGACCCTGGTAAGGAACATGGTGATGCCGCCAAACATGTCAGATGCCGATGGGTTGAGGAACCACGATTCCGGGACTGGGAGGTGAGCCGGTGGAGGAGGCGGTGACGGTGGCGGCGGTGGTGAGGGGGAGGGAGGTGGCGGTGGTGACGGGGAGGGAGGTGGCGGTGGTGAGGGGGAGGGAGGTGGCGGTGGTGGTGACGGCGGTGGTGGTGAGGGAGGAGGTGGCGGTGGTGAGGGGGAGGGAGGTGGCGGTGGTAAGGGGGAGGGAGGTGGCGGTGGTGGTGACGGCGGTGGTGGTGAGGGAGGAGGTGGCGGTGGTGAGGGGGAGGGAGGTGGCGGTGGTGGTGGCGGTGATGGTGGCGGTGGCGGCGGCGGCGATGCACTTGCGGCGCACGAACTAGATCCAATTGGTGGCGAGTAGCTGCCGTCTGCTTGGCAAGTATGGGGACCGCCGCCGGAGAATCCGCTATTACAGACAACTTGGAGAGTATCACCAACCGGTGCGTTGGTACTCGAGGTGATAGCGTTGGGCGGGATAGCGCTGTTTGGCGGCGGTGTGGCGGACGGGCAGACCTCATAGTAGCGGATGTCGATGGTTGGTCTGTTGCTGGTGACGATGTTGCAGGTATCGCCTGACCCGCACTTGGCACCTAGCTGATAAACATAGAGAACAAGCGTGTTGCCAGTAAAGAAGTTATGGTTTGCCCAGTCCTGCAGAAGGTCGCGGAAAGCTGGAGTCGAGAGGGTGACCGTGTTGCCGCCCGAGTCGACCTGGTCATAAAAATCGGCTGAGAGAGCCGACTTGTCCAGGTTATCGTACGAGTAGGTGGTATCCCAGGGCGGTTGGCTCAAATCAGCGCTTTGGGTAGCACTTGGGACGTCAAAGTACTTGATGGTGATGTCGGTCGGTTGGTCAAAGATGAATTGTGAGAACGTGATGCTGGACGCGTCGGTGACATAGATCTGGCCAGTTGAGGACACGACTTGGGTGGAGAGCCGGAAGAGAACAGCACCAACCTCGCTATTGGTAGCCAAAGACCACAAAGTTGGGCCAGTCATGGTGTCACCGTTGCTCACCAACATCTGACCAGTGTTATCCTGCTCTGCCGTGTGCGTTGATTGCTTCTCGGTTGCCCCGAGAGCAGGAATGGCGACGAGCAACAGCACAAAAGCGAGGCACGCGACAGTGGGCGCAGTCACAGGGTATAGAAAGCGCATGAGAAAAAAGGAAAGGGATACACTTGACGGAGGGATGGACGCAACAGTGTAGCAGAGTGCGCGAGGGGGACGAGAGGAGTAGGGAAGTCGGTAGCAGCAGTGCTGTGTGGTGTGGTTGCGAGTGGAAAGGAAGAGTGTGACGAGCGGACAATTTGAGGAAGAGTGGCGCGTGCGCGTGTCACGGCATTCCGGGACTAGTATCGGTTTTGTTGTTGCATGCCATCCGATGAAACTGTCAGGCGGCTGTCAACGCCGGGACTCGAACGGAAGCGGAGGCCAATGCAACTATGACGATGATGATGAGGAGGAGGAAGAGGAGGACGAGGACGACGACGACGACGATGAGTTACGATAGAGTGCACCGCGAGCTTCGTCATCGAGGCCATGCTTGAGAATGTGCTCGTAGGTCTTGTAGGTCTCGATGTTGCGCTTCATGAGATCCTCAAGCGGCCAAGGAGACGGACAAAGGCGTCGCGGTCGAGCGAGACAGTGTACGTCTTTTCGAGAGCAACAACGGTGGCGGCGCGGCGTTGACGGTTGACAAGCGCAATCTCACCAAAGTAGTCGCCGGATGAAATGATAGCAAGCTCGATCTCGGGCCCATTGCCTTTTGTTTGGCGGACCGAGGCGCGGCCGGTCTCGAGGATGAAGAACCGCTTGCCCTTGTCGCCCTGGCGGAGAATTACCTCGTCCTTTTGAAACGTGCGCGGCTGGAGAACTTGTGCGACGTTGCGGAGCTCGGGAAGAGTCATTTCGGCAAACAAAGGAATGCGCTGCAGGAGCTGCAGATAGAGGCGGCGGCGTTGGTCGTCCGAGTTGACGAGTGTCCGCTTGAAAGTCATGCGGTCGAGACCCCACACAACACAGTCAGTGGAGGTCTTACAGGTAGCGGCACGCGGCGCGTTGTATAGCAGGGCAAGCTCACCAAACGAGCCACCCTTTTCGATGGTGAGCACGTTGGCGCCCGAGACAAAGACCTCGACTACGCCACGCCCCAAGATGTAAAAGTAGTCGCCGGTATCGCCCTGCTTGATGAGCTCTGTTCCTGCGCGGACCTTCTTCTCAAACATGGCGTCGATGACCTCCTGCATGAGATCCTCGCGCAGGTCCTTGAACAGGATGTTGGTGGCAAGGACCTTGGCGATGGCTGCCGCCGACGCTGCCGGCTTCTTGTGGACGACCTTTTTGTACTCGCCACCGCCTTCCGACGACGGCACGATCGACTCAGAGTAGATGGAGGTCCGTCGCCCGCCGCGGGGAAGCGCACGCATCCGCTGCATTCGCTTCTGCTCCTCGGCGGGTGAGAGGGCGCAAGACCGTGAGTCGGAAGAGTTTGAAGCTGACGACGACGAGCCGTCTGCGGACGACAACGACGCGTGCGAGCCCCTCCGCCGTGGATGGCTATTGCTACTGCCTTTAGGTGGGTCGTTGCGGGACGAGCCGCAGCCCATAATTGCAAGAGAGCGCGTGTGCGGTACGGCGGTTGCGCCTTCCGAGCAGCTTCCCACAAACGCAACGCCGGCAGCCGTGTGCAGCGAGAGAGGGCGGGATGAAGGGGGCGGCGAAGGGAGTGGAGGAGAAGTGAAATGGGATGGGCGTGAGAGGAAAGTGAGTGTGACGAGGTGTGTATGTACGCGCGTGTGTGTATGAGTGTTTGTGCTGGTGAGCGGGTGAGAACGGCACGGCAGTGACACTGTTCATGCGAGCCAACGAATGGTATCCCTCAACGAGTTGCACAGGGATCAACACTCCACGAACAGCAAAGTAGACTGATGCATGATGCTAGCAGGGGTCATAATGTGGATGGGCTAGGCGTGACTGCTGTGGTCAAGCAGAGGCGGCGGAGCGAGTTGTCGAAGAGGGTGCTTGTGGGCAAGCGCGGGGCTGTGGTGGACACCGAGGCTGGTCAAGCTGGGGAAGGGCGTGCGGGCGTCGCCACATCAGGCGTATGGGATGCACCCTGAGATGGAAGGGGTGCTGAACTCGGCGGTTACGTCGGCTGCGGAGAAGAAGATGCTGTCCGGGTGGTTCTCGGTTGACGAGGTGGTGGCGATCAGGGCTGTGCTGGTGGAAGGCGGGGACCGGACTGGCGTTGGCGGAAGAGATAGCGACGTCGAGCGGGTATCTGGGCCGGCCGATGGAGGTTGATCCGCGGGAGGCGTGTGTGCGAATGGAACGCAAAGCTGAGGTGAGGGCAGTGCCCAAGTCTAAGCGGAGCGTGGTGTTTGCGGCCGAGGGTAGGAGCCTGGCGATGCGAGGGTTTGTGGTCGATAGGAAGATGGTGAGGGCAGTTGTGGCAGGCCAGCACCCGACGCGCAATGGAATGCTGCGTGTGAGGTTGAAGTTTGGGACTGGCAAGGCAAAGAAGTCGCTATTGTCCAGGTGGATGACGCGGTGCGAGGCGCAGTGGTGGCGCACTTGGTGATCCAGGAGCAACGGGCGAAGCTAAGGCTGGCGGCGCAAGATGTCGGGGCTGGAGTGGCGTGGAAGCCGACACGTGAGGAGATGGCGCGTGTGACAGGCGTGCTGCGGCCTGGGCTTGCGCTTGCAGTGGACGTGGAGGCCGGGGTGGTGGAGGATATGCTACGCGAAGCGGTCCAGCGGTGGGTGGTATTTGACGCCGACAGCAACGCTGTGATTGGAGCTGGCTGGTGTAGCGTGGACGAGGTGGTGGGCGTAGTGGAGGGGATTGCGCGGCAACAAGCGCCGCGACGGAGGAAGGCGCTGCCGATGGTGTCGGACAGCGGCGATGACGGGGAGTCGTCGTGTGTGATTGGGGCCGGTAGCGATGAGGGGAACAGCGGTTCGAGCTCGAAATCCAGCGGTGGGATGTCGTCTGGCGAGTACCGCGAGTGGAAGCGGCGCAAGTTCCTGGAGGCGATCCGGATGCCGAGCAGGGAGGAGGTGCTGCGTATGCATGTGGAGGAAGGCAAGTCGTGGAATTCGATCCTTGGCGTGCTGAGCGAGGTGAGAGAGCGGCGGCGGATGGTGACCGAGTACTTTATCAGGGGAGGGCTTGTGAAGGTGGAGGAGGATGGGCAGTAAATGACGAGGGGCAAGAGTCATGGTGGGGATGGGGGCGATGGCGGTGGCTGCGATCTTGTGTTTGGGTTGTGTTGGGTGTGATAGAGGTGGTGTTGCTGATGCTGCTGGTGTTGCTGATGCGATTGCTGTCGGGTCGTCCAAGTCACCGTGCCCGTCGTCGTCGGGATTGAGGCACGGTAGACCGATGGGAGTGGGTGCAGTGGTTGAGGGGAGGCGCGGATGAGGATGTGGTTGAGGGGGAGAGTGAGATGAGGAGTGGCTTGTTCTCGGCCAGTCGGACTTGGGCCCAGTCATGATCAGTGGCGCAGTTGGCAGGAGGGGTGTCGATGGAGACGAGGGCTTGGGATTGGAGGAGGGAGCAGTTGTGGGCTGCGGTGCGAGATGGAGGAGGGCGCGGGAGAGAGGGTGAGTAGGATCAGGCTAGGAAGTGGTCATGGGTGCGCCATCGTCAGTTGGTGTCGATGTTGGTGACGGAGAGTGGGTGGCTGGGCTGGCGGCGGGCAGCGGAGGTGATGGTGATGGCGACGACGACGACGATGACGCTCATGTGCATCAGGCCAACAGTATCTGCGTCATTGTACACGCTTGTCCGCTTCTGCTCGTCCTCTGATCCCGATCTTGCGTCCTCATCCTCGACGTCAGCCTCGAACTTGGGTTGTGCGCTCGCTCGTTTGGGCTGTCGCTCACTTGGCCCGCCCGGCAGCGATCCGGTGCCGATGGTGATACGCAGCAGCTGGCTTGCTCGCGATGTATGGATCATTCATACCTCTCCCTCGTCACATCCCTCTCATCCTCCCTCTCTCTCCCCAGCAGTCGCAGCCTCGGCCTCAGCCACGGTCACCGCCTCGGGTCGTCATCCGCCATCGCAATCATGAACGCCGCCGCCTTAACCATCACTCCCATCGCCAGCCATCGCCATCCCCCATCCCCATCACTATCCTCATCAGCATCAGCATTATCACCAACCTGGTCATCGCCGCCTCGGGCTTGGGCTTCTCGCGCCACAGCAGCAGCACGGCGCCCATGCCGGCGAGTGGCTGAGCGACGAGCGGCAGGCCGTCACTTGATCACTCGCTACTCGCCTCGGGCTCGGCCACAGCAGCAGCGCTAGCTGTGGCAGCCACCACACTCATCCCACTCCAGCCATCTACACCACTCACCTCCTTTCCCTGTGATCACACCAGCCAGTCCCCCTGTATAGCCAGCCGCATGTCGTGCTCGGCTTGATCTAGCTTGATCTGGCTTGGCTGTGAGTGGTTGAGCGGGCGGGCAAGCGAGTGGCGAGTTGCTGGCCAGTGAGCAGTCGACAGAAGACGACGACACGGGCAACAGGACACAAGATCGGGCGGCAGACCAGTGTACTCTTGTAAAACAACCTCACCTTCTATCCCTTCTCCCTCGCTCTCCCTCCCTTTCCTTCGCTCTGACCAGCCCACTGGCCTCGTCTGGCCCGTCATTCCTCGCTCAAGCAGCTGAATTGGTTGACAGGTGGGCTGGGGCAGGATGGGCAAGGCGGGAAGAAGAAGGGGAGAAGGAGGTGGGGCAAGGGACTGATAGCCACTGCCACTTGTCTCACTACCCACAAGTAGATCATGCTATACTCGTGCTCTGCCTAGCCTGATCGGGGTTGTGCCGGCGGTGGACGGGTTAACTCGGGCGGCTATAGGAGGTGAGCAGCAGGCGGCCAGCAGCGATGCTGATAACGGGATGGTGTCAGCTCATGTCAGTATCGAGGCAAGGGGGTTGGGTGGGTGAGATTGTGGGGATAATGGGTATGTGTGGTGTGAGTGTGGTGATAGTGGGTGGAGATGGTGGGGAGTGGGGATCGGAGATGGGCCCGGGGAAGGGGGGCTGAGCAGCATCGAATGGACACAGGGCCAACAACTTGGGCCGAGCCGGCAGAACTCGGATTCCGGAATACTGCAGCTGTGGATTGGAAACTGTGCATGAGGGTAGTGTGGGCGTGTAGTAGAGTAGTAGTGAAATCAGATTGGACATATCTTGCAATTTGTGTGGTGGGGGCGTGTGCGGGGTGGGGCGGTCGAGGACGTGCTCAACCACCTAGGGCAAACAAGTCGACGCGGAAATGAGCCGAGGTCGATGGGTATCGATGACGGCGATATTTGTACTGGTGATAGTGGACGGTAAGTGATAACCTTGATTGTGGTTGTGGATTGCGTAGGTTGTGGTGGGAAGAGCTAGGTGGTGATGAAGGTCGGCTGATCGGGCGAGCGGGCGGCGGCTGGCGGCTGGTGGTCAGCGAGGCCGGGGCAGCTGAGGGGGCTGGGTCGGAGCTGGGTGGCTTGAGATTGTTGTTGGTTGGTGGGTGGGCAGTATGGCATGTGATGATTGAGGGTGTGGGTGTCGGAGTCGGGAATGAGGATGGGGGCGAGCTAGAGCTCGGAGAGGAGGAGGAGGAGGAGAAAGAGGAAGCGGGTGCGCGATGGGATGGTAGTGGGTATGGCCATGGCATGGGGGTGAGAGTTGTGGCTGCGACGATGGTGCTAGTGGTGGAAAAGGGGTGAGGGTGGTGGTTGAGGGTAAGGGGGCGTAATGAGTATGGTAGGGGG